CGAAGTCATTATTTTAAATGGAAAATTCCGGGGTGAAAGTGTATTACTTCCACGAATCCCTATTATACCCACAGATGTGCCAATTCAATTTAAACGCATTCAATTCCCCATTAGATTGGCATTTGCAATGACTATTAATAAATCTCAAGGCCAAACAATGTCTGTTTGTGGCTTAGATTTGAGCACACCATGTTTTTCACACGGACAATTATACGTGGCATGCTCTCGAGTGGGTAAACCATCCAGTTTATTTGTGTTAGCAAAAGACGGAATGACAAAAAATATTGTACACTCCATTGCACTAAGAGATTAATATTGTTTACTAATATTTTCAGAATTAGTTGTATATATAATTTATAAAAAAAAGTTACAATAAATTTAAAAAATTATTATTTGGTGTGTTGTTATTTTCACCTTCCGTCATCGTTCACAGCGCTCCATGCCACTGCCACTCACATACCACATACGCACACACTTACAATAAATAAGATATATTTTCATACTCTAGAAATAAATCATATGGCAAAACAACGTTTGCCGGGTCAGCTAGCATATATATATATATATATATGGTCGGTACAAGATGGATTCCGGAATTCCTAACAAGCAATAGCTGGGATTCGAACTCTTTTCACCTCATGGGAAGGCGAATCATGGAATGTTAGCTAGCTAAAGTTATCCAATCACAAAACCAATACAATTTACTAGGTCAATAATGATAACTAAGAGGAAAATAAACACCCCGAAACTTTACTTAGTTAATTCAAATTGGAAAAGCGCAAAAGGCAGCTGAAACCAAATTTGTATTATATAAACTAGAAATAAGACATAAATTCTAAATAATTACAAATACTTAAATATAAAATATAATATAAAAATGTGTGTTTGCGAAACAGTACTTCATCAGGGGACACACTGTCTGCAAACACACAGGAGCCTTTCTGTTGTTAGTGGAGTTAAACAGAACTAACAGTGCCCCGAGGCCCCTTAAAGAAAAGACTAGAAAAAAACTTTTAACACAGATAAATATCATTTTAAATTGGAAAAAAATCACTCCTAAAAGGTACAAATTTTAAATCAACAATTGAATGAAACACCTTCCTAAAGCACAATTTAAACAAATCCAAGCAAAGTAACAGTTACAGTTAATAAAAGTGACAATATTAAATACTCCGAATCAGTAAGAAAAAGAAATCAAGTGCTGACACCTGTGAAGGAAAAGTAAATTCTAAGTGTTCACCGCATAGGCCTATTTATGCGGGCTTCAATATCAGCCAAACTAATACAAAGTGTTTAAACTATTTTGAATCAAGACACCAAGATTATTGAAATTAAAAGGAAATTTATTTTTATTCAGACTAATTTTTAAATTCCCAATAGCTGATAAAAAGCCGAACAGTGCTCCACACACTATTGTATTGATATATTTTGCGTTGGCTATATTGATACAATATTAGAAAGCACTCTTTTTTGCGGGTATAATCGTGTGAGCTGATGAAGAGATTATATCTTTTTTTTTCCTGATTTTTTAGAAAATTTTATCCTTTTTTTTGGACTTTTTTTATTTTTATCCCCCAGTTGTTTGTTATTTTTATTATTATTATTCTTTCCTCCCCCCTTTTTTTCATACGTCTGTAATTTTCCTTTATTTTATCTTCATTTTGAACTTTTAATTGATTATATTGTGTAATAGGTTTGCCATTGATTTGGAAATTTTTCTAGTGGTCCTTAGGTACATAAAGAATGTGAATCAATGCATTGAAATTGGTGTAAAAAAATGAAAATTTCAATTGACATCTCTTGCACAAGATTTTAAATGATACTTGACACTTTTATCACATTGACTAAATAATACATTGGTTGCTACTAAAAAATGATGCACAAAACTTTGATTTATAGTTCGATTCCTTGCCTTTTGATTCTAGGTGTTTTTTAATTCCTTTTAAATGTTGTGCGATTTTAATTATTGCACCCTAATTAAAATTAGCCATTTAAAATGTAGCGTTGAAAAAAGGAGTTAAAAATCTTTAATAACTTAATTATTAGAACATTTAATAACACTTTAAATTTTTAAACCTTCAAAAACTCTTTACCTTAATAACTCTCTGAGATAAATGTATGATTAAGTCTATCAGAATGTGGTAACATTTACCGCGTTTCTGATATTAAGAGAACATTAAAAAGTTCTGCGATTTATCAGCATTAAAATATGGTTTTATAATATGGTAAAAAATTTGCTAATTTAACATGATCCTTTAGAACACGGCATGCAAACCATTTATTCGTTCAAATTTATTTTTCAGCTTTGTACTTTTTACTAAATGTGTGGTAACCGCACCTTCCGGTAAACCTTTTCCCTATGAATCAAAAAACTACCAAATGCATGGTTTAAATGCAGTATATTTTGGTTCCATTAAGCAGAATTATGGTTTTTATTTTATCATAAGTGTCTTTTCCATACTAGGAGGTAATTTTAGGATCAGAGATTAGAATTAATCAGAGATTTCTTTCTCCGTGCTGTTTGATTTTTTAAAACGATATGTAACCCACCAATTTTAATTGAAAACATAAAAATATTTTGCGGTAAATGCAAACTAGAGTTTTTCGCTCAATCATCACCTGCTTGTTGTAGTTTAAATCTTTAAATAATAAAGTTATGCGTAATAAATTCCTGCTCTGTACGCACTATGTAAAGTAAAAAACGACTAAAATGAAATTAAATGAATGAATTTCCGGCCCTGTATAGATTGTAACTGCAACGTTGAAAACTACGGAAATAAAAGGTAAACTCTACCTCATTTCTTATTCATTATCACAAATTCATCATGTGTTCAACAAAATTTTGTGGCATATTTTAGTATTAACCAGAATTATGTTGCTTTATTTTAGCAGAAATATTATTAACCTACAGTATGGTGACTTCATTAGAATTTTTTTCCTGATCGACTTTTTAGAACGATAAAACACACCAATATAAAAGGGAAACAGAAAAATATTTTACTGCAATTTAAAACTAAAATTTCTGACTGAATCATCACATGCTTTTTGTTGTTTGAATTCCTAAATAATAAAGTTATGCATAATAAATTCCGGTCATGTATACAAAATACATGCAACGTGGAAAACTCCTAAAATAAAAGGAACAAACTCTATCTCATTTCTTATTCATTTCCACCAATTCATCATGAAGTTCAGCAATATTGTGTGGCATTTAATGCACAACTAGATAATTTAAATGCGGGAAGGTAAATCATACTCGAGTAAGAGAAAATGCAAAACTTC